AGAATCAAATACAAAAAGACTAGTTGGTAGAGGCAGGGGATGAGAGCCTTAAGAAAACTATAAGAACAATCAGCAATCTCAAACATGAATTAAATTAGATATCTAATCAGCAAATTCTCCCAAAACACTTCTCCCTCAACACTTCCATCTGGACACAGAGACAGATACCTGAGTGTCAGGAATTCTCTAACAGATGGGAAAATACCTCTGCTGCTTCCTCATAATCTCTTCTGGAGCATTTGCTACCATGACAGGTCCTTTTACAATACTAAAGATGAAAGTGCTGTGTTAGAAAGGCTTTTCTATCTCTATTGTATGATGAATTCCTCTTGTTGGCCTTGAAAAGGATGGATGTGATCACTTCTTCCCTTGTACACTTGGGGTTTACATCCCAAAAGAAGTACTATTAAAAATCCTAGCAAAATGACTGCCCTAACAAATTCCAAACTAACCCAGTGTTGACACAAACACATTTTTACTATATGCCTTAACAAAGCATGCTTCACCATGTGAAGTGGTAACTGCAAACTAACTGTATCTCTTATTGATTCAACACAGGCAGAATAAAAAGAAAAAAAAAAAAAGAAAAACAAGAAAAACAAAAAAGTGAACAAAGAAAGCAAATACATAAATAACACTTTTTTTCCCAGGTATTTCTTCTTCCAAAAACCAATGTTCTCTTCTGCCTTGTCCAAAATGCATACAGCCCAGCTACATAGTGACTAGTATATAGTTATAGAGTACATATTACTTTGGTGTTGAAGAAAATGTGTGTGCTTTCAGATCTGTTACAACAGAGTTGTAATAAAGAAAGGTTTGACTCTTCTTCATAGGACTCCTGTGTCTTATCAAGGTAACTCATGGCTCTCCTATTTAACCTGCTAGAGAAATTCCCCTTCTGTTAACTGCTCTCATTTGACTTTGTTCAGCTGAGAACTCTGCCACATGCAGCCCAGATGGATCCAGCTGAGGCAACCACCCAACTTCCCTGTAGCCACTGTCCAGATCTGCAGCTCTGTTACAGGTTATCTGCAAAGTAGTAGGGTCACCAAGGGGAATGTACAACTATGTCCCAATTCAGAGTGTAATTGAGGATTAAAGAGGATGTAAGCTAGAACGCTGCAGCATGTATTCAGTGACTGAGTCACCAGCTCTTTCATCATTTAATGTTGGAACCAGCACTTGAAACAGGCTGGGAGGAAAAAAAATCCTATCCAGAGGAGGAAAACCTACAGAAATGTGCAGGACTGCAGGACTGCTCTCCAGAAGCAGGGAGTGAGACAGGACTGCAGTCTGCTGTGATCCCATATCCTCCTGCATCCTAATCTGGTGTGTACAGGTTACCTATTAACTGCAAGATCAGGAGACAACCTTGCAATTCCAGCCTGTGCACCAAATGACAGAGCAAATTTAACAAGGCTTCCTCTCCTGAAAGCTGCAAAGTTAGTGTTATTTCAGTTTCAGCTCTGATTCCCCCTTCCTCATGTTTGAAATTACTTACATAAAGAAGTGTTTGGAGTTTGCCAGAAGACACAGAAAACAGGTGGATAAACTGCCTAATACATGACAACTTTGCATATTACAACATTATCCTGAGGCCATGCCCAAGAAAATTACTGGAGACTGACTTGCAGGAAAAGTGGCTATACCACACAGACATATGAGTAATTACTAGTTGAACCAGAACTAATTCTACAAAGAGCTATAGCAATTGTTAGCCAAATTGAGTCTGTCATGGCAGATGCTAAAATAATTGCTATGGGAGATTACAGGCCATATCCAAGCAGTTAATTCATTAAAAGTGTAATATTCAGAATGAGAATGGAGGAGCAGACAAAATGGTAGCAAACAGGGCACAGTTTTTTAATCAAACAAGCACTACTGCCCTCCTCTGTCACCCTCTAGTTCCCTATTAATAAGAACAATTCATGCTTCAGTTACTGCTCAAAACTGCATATGTTTGCTTACTAGCAGGCCTGAATGAATTTCCCTGTGTCTTGGGTTTGGAAAAAACAAAGAATTTTGTAATGTTTTGTACAGTTATCTGTGACGGTGTCCACAGGGGTTCTTGGATGAGGGAAGAGATGAGGATCTGACTCCATGTTTCAGAAGGCTTGATTTATTCTTTTATAATGTATATTACGTTAAAACTATACTAAAAGAATAGAAGAAAAGGTTTCATCAGAAGGTTAACTAAGAATAGAATAGCAAAGAATTATAACAAAGGTTTGTGGCTTGGCTCTCCGTCCCAGCCAGCTGGGCTGTGATTGGCCATTAATTAGAAACATCCAAGATGGGCCAATCACAGATGCACCTGTTGCAATCCACAGCAGCAGATAACTGTTGTTTACATTTTGTTCCTGAGGCCTCTCAGCTTCTCAGGAGGAAAAATCCTAGGGAAAGGATTTTTCATAAAAGATGTCTGCGACAGTTATCAGTGTGAAAAATAGACAAAGTCATTGTCCCTGCTATAAATCTCTCACATGAAAAGAGTGGAGTATTGCTAAAAAGCTGTGACATCTACTAGTTTCAACCAGCAAGATATTTTAGCAGAGTCTTCAAAGATTCACAGAGGTGCTGTTTACAGAAATGTCTGCATGGGCACTTGCAGGGAAAAAATATATATTCCATGTGGAAGGTTTTTTTACCAAGGTTTGTTCTGCTTGTCTCTGCTAAAGAGAAGAGAAAAGCTCCCAGACAATTTGTCTCCCAGTATGAACTAATCCTTGGCTCTACTCAGACGCAATTCCTAGCAGAGCAAAGGCTCATTTACGTCCATCAAATTCCACAAGACAGAGGTTATAGAGAATGTTATTGGCAAATAGATCACATGCTGGCTGGCTGCAGAGGTGCATACAACCCTGCAGAAAGAGCAGCTGCTTGAAGGAGAAAGAAAATGGTTAGACACAGGATTTATTTTGCATTTTTCTCTGAGTTTTGAATGTAGGCTGTTAAAATTGGTCTATCCCTTAAAACTGGTCTCTCTCTGAGCATTGATTACTTGTATATGTGCACCTTCAGGACACAGCAATAAAAGAATTCCATTTCATTTGGTACAACTTACTGTAGAGGAAATGATGCTTGACATATCACAGATAAAAATAGATATTGGACAAATATACACCAGAACACTGCATACCAAGAACTCCAATGTGACTTTTACAATTTTATAAGCTTGGATGTGTGGGAAAGAAAACAGTGAAATTTGCTTTGCAGCCAGGTCACCAACCTTACCTCATGCTGAATAGGACTTTACTAAAAAGCACTTTACAAAGCACACCACTCATTTACAGTTCAACAGGATGCAGCAAGAGAGAACCTATTCCAAAACGTGGAGTAAAAAGGCTTTTCTACAGATGTTATGCAGAAGTTCAGCAGAAGTGATTAAGGAAAACAAGTCTGTAGCCACAATCCCAGTCACACAGGGATATACAAATTAGGTCCTCCTGAACTGCTTCTGGAAGTGACAGCAAACCAACAAAGAGCTGTGGCAGAGACAACATGGGAAACCCATTTCAATTAAACAAAGAAATAGGTCACTGTGCAATGTATGTGATGAGTTTTCTTAAGAAAGAAAATAATTTCTCAAGAAAGTTTAGTGCAGGTCTAAGAAGAGCAACAGCACAGAAGAAAAATGGGTGATTCTAAATATCAAACAGAGTTTATAGCCTCTTGGACAAACAAACGAGAAAATCATGGCCTCTCAGGTGAGACATTTCAGCTCTGCAGGGTCTCCCAAGATAAGAAACTGGGAATCACAGCAGCACTGCAAGCAAGCCAGGTGCTGCCATGGGAGGCAATAGCATCGCCTCTCGTGTCTCCTCCTGCCTCAGCACCACCAACCATCCCCACCATTCTTCTCTAGGTAGCTGCTTTCACTAAGCAAACACAGCAACTCTGCTAGCCCAGTCTGGTCAGAAAGGAATTTCTGAATGAGGTGGTTTTGAAGGCTAGTGCAGATTTATCACACTGTAGGGAAAATACACATTTGAAATAAACATTGGCAAATTTTCCCAACTATAAGTGTCAATTTTTTAGTTCAGAATGACTTAATTTTTCAAAAATAATTCATTATGCCCCTCAACTAGACTTTTCTATAAGGTGATTAAATGTCTGTTTTCTCTTGCAAGAATCACCACCCAAAAGTTATAAAATAAAATCATGAGATGAATAGTGCTCCAGTACATATGTATATTACATATACATGAGCATATAAAAAACCAGATAGACTGGTGTAATTAGCTGATTAACAGCCATGCTGTAAATCCACAACATTTTTCCCTCAAACTCTCCTCCCAGATATCAACACCGCAGATGTTCAAAGTGATGGAACTACCAGACACATAGAGGCAGGTGATTTCCACATTCTCCTGCTGTAACCTCCTCTCTAATCACATGCTGGAAGACAGCATACTGTGCCACTCACATCATGTTTACAATTAACATGCCTCTTCAAAATGGCCACTCCAATAAAGAAAGACAATTATCCTCTATCAACAGAAGAAAAGCACAATCAAAAGTAGTTACCACTGTCTGCAAATGAGCCATTTTTCTGAAGACTGTATATCAAATGCCTCTTCTTCTGAGAAGAAAAGACCTTGCACAAATTGGGAAAATCTAGACACAGGGATATTCCAGTTTGGACAGCTAGCATGTTTCTGATAGAAAAGTTATGAAAACAGACTTTTTTAATATAAGCTTTTATAAGATTGTCTCTAGACTTGATTTCTTACCCAGAGCTTTTGTCATTTATTCAAATAGATACACTTAGCCTGATCCTTAAAGCTGAGCTTTTATCAATTCTTAAACTATATCTGATATATATGTATAAAATAAGCACTGTTCTGACAGCCACCTTCTCCTCAGGTCATTGCATGGTGAACTTTACTCAGCAACCTGGAGATGAGCAAACTGAACTGTAACAACAAGTTGAAATAATGTTTGGGAAATGCCTCATTACATTAACTTTTTTCTTCCCCTACAGACAAGAAGCAACAGACCTTACATTAGGGTCCTGCAGACTGGAGGTCTTACTGGGATTTACAAAAGAGGTCTCTTCTTTCACAGCCTGTTAAAAGAAGGAGCCAAAGTTTAGTAAAACATCCATGCACTTAGGATAATACAACAGTTTATTAAAAAATTATTCCTGTAAGCAGCTCAGAAAACTGCAGCATCCAAAATGCCTACTCTGTCCAGATTTAAAAGACATGATCTTTTTGGGTTTTCATCTCCTACAGCTGAGATTCACTGTGATGAGCAACAATGTACAACATGCAGGGCAATAGTATAAGGGAGAGATTGGTACTGGAGGAGAAAGAAAGGAACACTGACATTTATGGCTCCTCCAGAAAGCACTTGAGCAGAAATCATACAAAATCTACACAAACATACTGTAATTGAGCTGTCCTTTCAATTGGAGTAGAAAAAATATTTATTCTGAAATAATGATGCCAACTTTTCATTCAGTTTTTGAAAATCTAACTGAAAAATGTGATTCCCTACATATATTCACACTGTATGCACAATTCACAGAAAATCTCACTCACTACTGCTCTCTGCTAAATTACAGAGTCCTGTCTCTCATATGCCATTTTTCTGTCAATTTGAAAATACTAGTATTGCAAAATAACTCCCATGGAAATGGCTTTATTACCTAGGAAATGCCCAATCTGGGCAGGTGTTGATATACTCTTCATCTGAGATGCAGTATTCCCAATCCATGTGTAAATGCCAGTGTGAGGACAACACTGCCCCCCACTACAGAAAAAGAGACAAGAGTATTTCCAAATACTCCCCCCCATCAGTCAGGGACTTCTCAGACTGTGACATTTGCAACCCTCTACGTGAACAGAGGGGGACTGAAATAGTCCCACAACAGAGTGTTTTTTCAGTGCTCAGTATCTGAACCACAGTAATTTGAGGCCGTAGGTCCAGATCAAATTAAATTAAATGTGTCAGTCTAATCCTCTTAAAATAGGATGAAACAGCTTTCTTCAAATCCATCAAATCCAAATAAAAGGATTTTACAGACACATAAAAATATTGTAATGTTACATAAGATCTTCCATTCAATAAAAATGGAAATATTTCATTTCTGGGTACTCATAAGAAAAGAAAACAAAATCAAATCTGAGTTTCTTCTGTACCTTAGCAATGAACTAAAACAAAAATATCAGTAGGGATACTCAATGCTTGGGAAAATCACCAAAGTGTTGAGTTTGTTTTCCCCTTGTGCTAGAGAGAACAGAACCCTCACTGCCACTTCCCAGATCATTATTTACCAGATCATCAGCCATGATGCAAAGGGACTGCTCCAGCTTAATTGTGTACACAAAATTAACTGTATGGGCAATTAAACTGGAACCACTGGGAATCTGACAGAAAGTGAACTCTGTTCTGGGTCTTCTCCAGCCCAGGCAAGTACCTGAAGTGATGGGTTAGAGGGCATTTTGAGACAAGTCCTTTAGTAGGAAGTTCATCCCTTCCTACTAGAATTGTTGAACCTTGTATGTTGATACCAAAGCCCCCATCTGCAGAGAGGGGACCTTCTAACCCTCAGCAGCAGCTTTATCCCTCTCCCAGGGGGCTAGTTCACAGAGGAAGCTGATTTACAGCTAGGTTACTTGGAGGAGAACAGGATCAGCAGCAGCTACTGGAGAAGCTCCACTCCAATGCAGTACCCTTATGTATTTGGGTTTAATCTCCCTCAGGCAGAGGTTTTCTCGGTCCTGCACAAACACTCCAGAAATTAAGGAATCAGATAAATGTGAGACATTATCACAACACCACCATCATTGTAACTCAGCCACCAAATGTTTTGCTGCCAAGGTTTTCAGTGAATTAATGTCACCTCATAAACCATTTGGGGATCAAGAGTGCAATTTTACAATTTTAATAAATTTGTAGCTTTAAGCAATTCAGCTCAGCTTTAGAAAACATTTTTACTAGTCTTCTAGTAGCTCTGTCTTGCATAATGTTTATTCAAACTCTATTGATTTCTTGAAAGGAAAGAAAAAAGTTTTTAAGGACTTGGGAGAAAGCATTGAAAATCATTCTTTGTTGGCATAGATGAGCAGTGGAAGCAATATTTCTTTGTTCTACAGAAATTATAATACTTTTTATAAAGTTGTTTGGTTTCTGAAATCTGTAAATGTGAATCCAGCTGTCAGAAACCTAATACAAGGCCTCTTCTTCCCCACTAAATGTCTTAGCAACATTTTATTGTTAAGCCTGTCAAGCTAGCTGCTTATTATGTGTCAAATTGGTTACTTTTTAAAACTATAAATTTTAGTTCATTCCAATTTTCACCAAAGTAATTGATCTGCATTTTAAGATGCACTTGAACACAACAATGGAAAAGAGATTACAGAGATCAAGAACGCAATGCAGGGGCTGTGACTAGCAATGAAATTATTAAAATTCCACCTCCTTAAATGCAATAAGCCATGGATCTCATTAGCCAGTTGAGAGGGCTTCACTGTGTTACACCCTTGGTGGCTTCTCAGCTCTCTGGCTACATTATTTCTCTCTTTTGTCTTCTCTCCATTGGAAGGCTAAGCCTGCATCTCAAGAAGTCATATATTCCTAAGCAGCTTGACCAGCATCCTCCATCAATGAGGAATTTCTCTTGGTATTAATTTTTCTCCGTTATTACTCAGGTTTTAGAGATCAGAAAATACTCCTGAACCCACAACTAAGCACTGCAGACCAGTGAGCAAGTAATCCCACTCTAAATTGTAAGGAGAGAGGGAGCACGCAAAGAAATGGAGGGGGCCTGAGCAGCCCCAGGTGATGAGGCCTGGCCTCAGGGTGCCATGGGTGTGCATTGGCAGGTACAGATTAACAAGGATGGGCTCATTCTTCTCACCTTATGCCTTTCTAGCTGTGGATGAACAGACACAGGAAAATGTTGTACTTGCAAACCCTTCTGCAAAGGGCTGCAGCTGAGAGAAAGTGCACCACCCCTGCTTCACTTGAGGGGTGTTGGCTTTTGGGGTGTTTATCTGTTCAAATGAGGTCAGTAAATCTTCACCTGGCAGCCTCTTGCTTTTATTTTTCTTCTTAACACTGCAAATCACATCGCTAATCACAGAAGGACTTCCTCAGCCTTACTGAAAAGACATGACTGCAGAACAAGGGTTGTGCTTGCAGACAGCCCTGGCACTGTAATTCCCAGATGGTTTGCCTTAATTTGAAAACAAGTGCACCTGCTGGGGCCAGGATTTGGGTTTCCATTGCAAGATGCCTTCCAGCAATGGAGAAAGGGGGTTTAGCCAAGGGTGGCAGGAGGTGCCTGGTAGGGAATGTACATACACACAGAGCTGGGCAGAGGTTCTCACCCACTGAAAGCCCAGCACTGAGCTGTGTAAGAAAGACACAAGCAGAAGAAAAGCATGAAGCTGCTTAGGTCTTAACTAAGGCAGATTCTCCCCTCCCACAGAGGCTGCTACTCTGAGGGAGAGATTTCAGGGCATAGCAGACCTGGAAGCCCAATTTATACAGAAGCATATTAATTTAATAATTACCGAAAGAGAAACAAGTCACTTTTCTGGCTACCAGACTGTAAATCCAATTAAAAGTTTATCCATATAATCCATCCACACAATGCCATTCTGGGTTTTTTTTATCTGCATCAGGCCCAGAGGAAAAAAAAAATCATTAATTTTCTGTTTTCATATGCCATTAACTTTCTGGATGATATTAGAACTACTTTATCATTTTGAGCATTGCTTTATATTTGAAGGGACAAGAAACATGACTGGGCAGCAATGCCATTGAACAGGCTCTCTTCACAGATGATTGCTAAGAAATAATTTCACCATAGGATGAAAAGAGGAGAAAGGTACCTAAATTTTGTCCACAGCTCTCTCAGCCATGTACCTATGGGCAGCTGGGAGTTCTCAGACTGCTTTTCAGTCAGCTCCTGAGCAATGCTAATCCCTGCTGCTGCCTTGGCAGCCAGGCCCTTTGGAGCCTTAGAGAGGGGGTGGATGCTCCAGGGATGCTACACCAGACTCTGCTGAGCTTTCTAGAGGAGGTGGGAACACTTTCTGGCCCATGAGAGTAATCCCATGCATGAATTCATAAGCCCTTGTGGCTGGATTTGCCTAGTGAACAGCAGCTCCTTCAATTTTCTTCTGAAGAAAGAGTTAGCCCCAGGGTAATGGAAGACAGAACCTTAAAATGGGAATTGGTTGCACCAAGCATGTACCAAGAGGGAGAATACAGTAAAGACAGAACTTTGGGTGCAGCCTTCTGTGATTTTTGCCAGTGGGGCACTGTTCAAGGCAGTCTGTGTTCTTCATGCCTCAAGCAAGCACCATGGGGAGCTATTGTCATTGTCTCTCTCCTCCTTCACAAGGGGAATTGCTGTGGCTCTCACCTCTACTGATCCAAAATGGGAGCACCCTGGATAAGCAAAAAAACTGCATGAAGAATCAGATCACTGCAGCCCAGGGGGAGTGCCAGGTTCTCATCTGAGAAAGACAAGGGTCTAGAAGGCTCATAGGAAACATATGATGGCCCTTTTTTAGCAATTTCACAAAGTTCTCAGTTGCAGAAAGGAAGGGAGAGCAACACAGCTTTCACATGTTTGAAGATCTTCAAAGGCAAGGAAGGAATGACTCTTACCACAGTGGGCCTGGAAGTACTTCTCTATCTTGGCTCTTTCTGACTCTGTAATGATGGTAAGGAGGCCTGAATCATATTTGATTTTTCAGCTCTTTATCAACAACTTAATCTTTTGTCAGCCATGCCAAATGTTGGCTGATCTCATTAGATAATACAGGCTAAGGAGCATGTCATCAGGAAGAATGTTCTGCCAAGGTAAACCTACCTTGGTGATTTAATATGTCAAATGTAACTTCTCAGGCAGAAAAGCATGATGTTTATGTCTCTTGGGAACAGACTACTCTGGTTTTTTCCCCCCTGAACAAGGCCTGGCACCATGGGCTATGGTGAGGCTCTTACACATCAAGGCAATTAACAGTACTTGTCTCATCATGTCCTGGCAGAGTCTCAGAGAGGAGACAGAGATGACATACCCACAGCTCTGGGAGTCTTGTGACA